TGTTCAAACAGTCAAAGAGAATATTATAATTAAATATGCATTATTTCACAGTATGAATAGCTTTTAGAGGTAGGAACACAGTTCCACTATATATTTTAAATAGAAGACGTCAAAACACTTTTTGTTATTGTTTGCTGACTAAATGGTGTTTTGTAAAGCACAATTGCGTACTTACATTTCATATATTCCTACTGAAAATACACAATTCTATTTTATACTGCTACAAAATTAAGCAGGTAAACGTTCAACAAAATATCTATGTTTGAATATAAAATGCTAAATACTTAAACACACTCATTTTCGTTTTGTTATTTAGAGGTTTGTTATTTAATGTGTTATATGCTGGGAGAGTATTTAACCCCTTCAGGACTGGACTGTTTTGGCCATGTTGTACGTCAAGGACCAGAGCTGTTTCAACACTTTTTTTGGTGCTTGTGTTTAGCTGTAATTTTCCTCTCTCTCATTTACTGTTCCCATGCAAGTTATATATTGGTGCTTTCTTTACATACCATTTTTTGTATCATGTCATATAATTATATAATTTACTTAAAAAAATTATGAAAACATGTTTTTTGACTTTGACTTGACTATTTTTATTTACTTATTTATATTTTATAATATATATATATATATATATATATATATACACACAATACATATAGTTATTATATATTAATTATGAGTGTATTTTTACATTAATATATACATATATTAATATAAAAATACACTTAGTATGACATTATATATATATATATATATATATATATATATATATATAAAACAAGAAGGGGTTGGCTGCACTCACCTTAACATGCATAAATGGGGGTGCTGCTGGGGGCCAAATAATACAATACACAAGATCCAGCGCACTCACCTATCCACTAAACAGCAACTTCAATGTTGAAAGATTTGATTTGTTTTTTAAAAACACCTAATCTAGGCAAAAATAATGGGGGTTTAGTTACATTATATGATCATACATTACATAAGCCTGCCACAACGTCAATGTACCCCATCTTTGGCAGGTCCTACACTAACAGCCTAATGTCTGCTCTTATGAGATTAACCTACTTGGGGAAAAAAATTCCATCTAGGGCTCTCTGCAGTACAAGGCTAAATAGGGCCCTGGGATGAGGCACCTGTGACAGGGAGGGGTGCAAAACCAAGGAGTTGGCTAGACTCCCAAATATATATAAAACAAGAGGGGGTTGGCTGCACTCACCTTAACATGCATAAATGGGGGTGCTGTTGGGGGCCAAATAATATAATACACAAGATCCAGCGCACTCACCTATCCACTAGACTCCCAAATATATAAAAAAACAAGAGGGGGTTGGCTGCACTCACCATAACATGAAATAAAATCTTTCAACATTGAAGTTGCTGTTTAGTGGATAGGTGAGTGCGCTGGATCTTGTGTATTATATTATTTGGCCCCCAACAGCACCCCCATTTATGCATGTTAAGGTGAGTGCAGCCAACCCCCTCTTGTTTTATATATATTTGGGAGTCTAGCCAACTCCTTGGTTTTGCACCCCTCCCTGTCACAGGTGCCTCATCCCAGGGCCCTATTTAGCCTTGTACTGCAGAGAGCCCCAGATGGAATTTTTTTTCCCAAGTAGGTTAATCTCATAGGGGCAGACATTAGGCTGTTAGTGTAGGACCTGCCAAAGATGGGGTACATTGACGTTGTGGCAGGCTTATGCAATGTATGATCATATAATGTAACTAAACCCCCATTATTTTTGCCTAGATTAGGTGTTTTTAAAAAAACAAAATCTTTCAACATTGAAGTTGCTGTTTAGTGGATAGGTGAGTGCACTGGATCTTGTGTATTATATTATTTGGCCCCCAGCAGCACCCCCATTTATGCATGTTAAGGTGAGTGCAGCCAACCCCCTCTTGTTTTATATATATTTGGGAGTCTAGCCAACTCCTTGGTTTTGCACCCCTCCCTGTCACAGGTGCCTCATCCCAGGGCCCTATTTGGCCTTGTACTGCAGAGAGCCCCAGATGGAATTTCTTTCCCCAAGTAGGTTAATCTCATAAGAGCAGACATTAGGCTGTTAGTGTAGGACCTGCCAAAGATGGGGTACATTGACGTTGTGGCAGGCTTATGCAATGTATGATTATATAATGTAACTAAACCCCCATTATTTTTGCCTAGATTAGGTGTTTTTAAAAAAACAAATAAAATCTTTCAACATTGAAGTTGCTGTTTAGTGGATAGGTGAGTGCGCTGGATCTTGTGTAATATATATATATATATATATATATATATATATATATATATATATATATATATATATATATATATATATATATATATATATAGATGTAAAAAACAGATAAAATTCTTATCTTGTAATACCTTTTTTATTGGACTAACAGAATTTTTTAATGACAAGCTTTTGGGAGAACCTCCCTTTCTCAAGTCTGAAGCATTTCTGAGCAAAACGACACATAGAATTCAAACTTGAGTTGTGATACAGGGGTTAAAGCGACATGAGTGTAGATAAGACACAGGTTTGTTAGAAAATAGACACCATCTTAGCAGAGGGTCATAAATATCTTGTTGAAGAGCAGAGTGAGGGGGCAGAGAGGGAAAAGAAAAACAAACAAGCAGACAGTGCACAGGATGGTTTACTTTATACATGCACACACACATAAATATGTATATGTGAACGCATAAACACATGTACATATACATATACATATACATAAACACATATACATACATACACATGAACTCATATACACAAATATAAATGCACAGTAATATATATAAGCATTCATGCATACGAGTATGGGAAAGCATAGGTCTACACATAGTACTTTGTATATAGATAGAATAATCATATAGGAATGCATTTTAAAGTGTTGGTACATATGACAGAACAGTAAGATAATGCTAGGAGAGTGTTCATGTAAAGTGTTGGTAGTGGGACAGGAATCCCAAATCAATATTTAGTCCTCTATTCTTGCTGTTAAACCATTTAATCATTTTGGCTTCAAAGGCTTTTCTTTCCTGCGTATTTTTAAAACCCCCTTTCAGTACTTTGATTTTTAGGTCCTTCAGTGAGTGGCCAGGCTGGGTAAAGTGGTGTCTCACAGGAGAGCAGTATGATTCTTCTTTGTGGTGTTTAATAGAGTGTCTGTGCATATTCATTCTGCCATTTAATGGCTGGGTGGTTTCCCCAATGTAGCATCCTAGGTGGCATTTTATGCATTGAATCATGTATACCACATTGCTGGATGTGCAGGAGTATGAACCTTTAATGCTGTAGGTTTTATTGTTGTGTGTGGCTGTGTTGTCTGTGCATATGTGCTGACACAGTTTGCAGCGAGGTTTTTTGCATTGACTGGTCCAGTTTTCTTCATTCTTACCATCAGTGGGCAGCTTCCTGTTGATTCATTTTTTTTGGAAGTTTGGTGGTTGTCTGAAGGCCAAAATGGGTGTTTCAGGGAAAATGTTTTTCAGAGTCTCATCTTCTGTTAATATTGGTTGTAGGTGATGATTTTCCGTATTTCCTCAAGAGCTGGGTTGTAGGTGACCACAAGTGGCACTCGTGTGGATATTTTTTTCTCTTTGTACTGTAGCAGGCGCGTGCGTGGCGTTTTTTCAGCAGAGTTGATTTGTTTGATAGTCTTTGGTTTGTAGCCTTTCTGTCTCATAGATTGGGAGAGTACATTTAGATGGGAATTACGGTCATTAGGATCAGAACATATGCGATGGTACCTAGTGGCTTGGCTGAAGATGATGCCCTGTTTAGTATGAGAGGGGTGGAAGCTGGAGCTGTGAACGTAACTGCACCTGTCTGTGGGTTTTCTGTAAACCGAGGTGTGGATTGTGCCATTGTTACATGTCACAGTGGTGTCCAGAAAGTTCACAGATCTAGTGGAATATTCAATTTTTAGTTTGATTGATGGATGGAATGTGTTGAAAGAGTCATGGAACTGTATCAGTTTTTCTTTGCTTTCAGTCCAAATTATGAAGATATCATCGATATAGCGATAATATTTGTATGGTTTGGTGTGCTGGATTTCTAGGAATCTCTGTTCAAGATCTGCCATAAACAGAGTAGCATATTGGGGTGCCATCTTAGTGCCCATAGCAGTGCCCATGGTTTGTAGGTAAACCTCATTGTTAAAACTGAAGTAGTTATGTGTGAGGATAAATAGTGCCAGTTCTGTGATAATTCGGGGGCTGTATTTTTAGTTGTTGACATGAAAGAGAAAATGGAAGCAAGCATTGATGCCATCTGTATGTGGAATGTTGCTGTATAGAGATTCCACATCCATGGTTACAAGGATGGTGTTAGTAGGAGGAGGAACAACAGAGATCAGGTAAGTAAATATTACCGTTATGACGGTTCAGGACTGTCACTGGTCCTCAATGGTATTTTTCAGATGATGGTCCTAAACCATCATCGGTCCTTAAAGGGTTAAGGTTTTCACTTTAATCGTACACATAACTGCATTTACATTTGATTTTTAAACATTTCCACTCATTAAAAAGATGAAAAGGAGCAAAATCCATAGTTTTTTCACTGTAACAACTGTCATGATAAGCAGATAACGTCATCATGTATTTTGTTGCTAATTGGTCCAAAGCTGCACTTCGTTAAGTTTATTAGTTTCTGACAGAAAATGATCACAATCCATTACAGTGTTATTGTAAATCCTATTTTCCTTTCAATTCAGAATATTTGGTATACATAGATACTTCCCATATAACTATGTTAAGGAAAAAATAAATCACATTTCATTGGCATGCATAATTCGGATAAAATGGTACAAAAGGTAAGGTCTCTAGCACTTTTTTGTAGTGTAGGTAGGCAGCTTGAACACCCCAAACCAGAGTCTCTTCTTTCTAATCGTTGATGGTGTGGAAAAGGGAGAGAGGGAAGCAGTGCCTTAAAAGTATCCTCACAATTTAATGAGGAAAATTCAATATTCAAAAGAGAGGACAAAGAATTAAATATGATGTAGTATTTTCAGATGGTTGGTAAAAAAAAAAAAAAGAAAAGAAATAAACACATACACTTTTTGAGCTAGTAATTAGCTCCAAATATACACGCTAAGGCAGGGGCGGATCCAGAACCTAATCTCAGGTAGGGCACTGGTAGATTATAAAGGAACAATCCAAGCCCAATAACCACTTCAGCTCTTTGTAGTGGTTATGGTGCCAGGAGTGTCGTGGTGCCCTCCCAGAATAGGTAGTCAAACTGTTTTAGAACAGTTTGACAACTTACCTGGCGTCTGCCAGGATAGTGGTTCTAGTACGATGTAGGGGCAGTAGTGCATGCATGTGTGTGTGTGTGTGGTGCAATGTGTGTGTGGGGTGCATGAAAGGGCGCAGTGTGTGTATGTGTGAGTGGTGCAGTGAGTGAGGGATATAGTGTGTGTAAGGGGGTAGTGTGTGTGTGTGTGTGTGGGGTGCAGTGTATGTGTGTGACGGGTGCAGTGTGTGTGTGTGACGGGTGCAGCGTGTGTGTGTGATGGGTGCAGTGTGTGTGTGTGAGGGGTGCAGTTTGTGTGAGGGATGCAGGGTGTGTGAGGGGTACAGTGTATGTGTGTGTTTGAGGGGTGCAGTGTGTGTGTGTGAGGCATACAGTGTGTGTGTGGGGTACAGTGTGTGTGGGGTACAGTGTGTGAGGGGTACAGCGTGTGAGGGGTACAGTGTGTGTGAGGGGAGTACAGCGTGGGGTGTGGGAAATATGTGGGGGGCAGAGTGTGGATGTGAAAGTTATTGTGTGTGTGGGGCAGGGGGGCACATTTTAAAAAAATATGTGTTTGTGTTTTTTTAAATTCAAATAAATAATCTTTAGATCTCCCCTCCTTTCTTACCTTTGCTGGGAAGGGGTACTCTCAGGGGGTGGGGGCAATTGACCCATTGCCTCCCCCCCAGGATCCATATTCCCTGCTTGTGGATCTGTGTAATATTTTGTATATGAAGAAAACATTGTTAACATTCCACAGATGCCTCCAGGATGATGTAATGTGAGCAGGAGAGGGTGGCAACTTTTGCCCCGTTGCCTCCCCCCCGGCATCCGCCATGCGCACAGGCTGAATAATCCCTGCTTTTGGATCTGTGCAATATTTTGTATATGAAGAAAACATTCCACAGATGCCTCCAGGATGATGTAATGTGAGCAGGAGTGGGTGGCAACTCTGAAGGAATCTTGGTGCTGGATAAGAGGTGAGCAAAATTATTTTTTAAATATTTTATAGTGCACACGAGGGTTGCTAAAACTAACTAGGAACTGGGAAACTACAGCATTGGGAATACATATTTGGCCCTTTAAAAGAACACAGCAAGCATCATAACCACTAAACCTTGCTGTGTACTGGCCATCGCCTAGTCCATAAAGTCATATGGTTTGACTTCTTAACTGAGGTCCATCTTGTGCCACTCTCGATCTCCACTACAAATGCCAGAGAGCCAGAGGCTCCTGAGTTAAGCTCTGCTGGCCCCAGATAAGAAGTCAGACCATTCAAACAAGTTTGACGCCTTTTAATTGTGAGGGGAGTGGACCCCAGGCATCGTAACCATTATAGTGAGTAGTGTAATAAATACATATGGGTCATAGAAGAAGGACTTAATAAATTAAACAGGAGGAAAGGGAGACTGCCTGAGAGATTGGCAAGAAAAAAAAGTGGCAGAGAAGAGATGGAAATTTTTTTTGCTATTAAATAAAGTTCACATGGTTCACTATCACATATTCATTTTAGAAACCCTATTCTAGGTCTCAGTAAAGAAGGGTAGAAAGTGGGATAGAGTATGGTGGGGTGATTTTAATGTATACAAAGTTTTAGAGGGAAAACAAGTGTGTTCCCTATTTTGGTCCTCGCATTGTATTACACAAGATCTAGCTAGTATAATGTTATATATAAACTAGATGATAATAAGTTATAATTAGCAACTTCAGTATAATGATTTACACACAACCTAATGAAAACATAACAAAATGGTAAAGAAAGTGAGTTTATAAATCATAAAGAGTTGCAAATAAGCAAAATATTATGTATAAGGAATGCATTCTGAATGACTAAAGTGATATTAAAACAGAAAAGTAGTGAAAAATGACCAGTGCTCAGAAACTAAGAAAATGGATTGCTCACTCCTATATTGACATTTACATCTATTTTGAGCTTAATTAATCACTTTTTTGCTTTGAATTACTTGGTTACCTATCACGTCTGTCTTTGTCATATATGACATATTATGGGAGATTTTAAACTAATGTACTTCTATTATTAAAATTCTTTGGAGCATAGTTAACTAAGATTGAATCTGTCATCAACAGAAAAAAATGTGTTAAAAATATTAGAATATATTTTGTTCATGTGCTTTGTAATATTTAAAAGGTAAAACTTTCCTGAGCAAAACTCGGTCAACTTGAAATTTATCAGAAATTTGTTCATTGTTGTGTTAGCACTAGAAGGCTAATCATGCAGTTCCATCTTCATAAGAAACATCACAATTAACCAACAAAATAAAAACCATGTAAACCTCCTCTAAATACCACTAGAACTACAGTGTGTGGGGGGGGGGGGTACAGTGTGTGGACTAAGTTGGGTACTGTGGAGCTGTTTTAGAACTTACATGTTTATCTCATATAGCAAAATACATGTTCTCCTTCTCTCACGACCAAGTGGAAGCTTATTACCTAAAGCAGTGCTTTTCCAACCAAGTCCTCAAGACACAGAGATAGTCCAAGTCTAAAGCAGTGCTTTCCCAACAAGTCCTCAAGACACAGAGATAGTCCATTTTTTTTCTCCCTTTTCTGGAGAATGTTAGGCAGGAAATTATATTGAGAAGAAGAAACAGACCGGGCAGAAATGTGCAACCAGAGCAAGGTTAAGTAAGGTTAAGTAAAGAATTATTTTTGCGTGAAGGCTGTGTAATCATTGAAACATACACAGTGTCCTGACCCGAGCATGGTGCAAGCCACATGTTGAGCGAGCTCTGCACCCTAGGCCGAAAAATAGCACAGAATTCCCTATCGAACCTGAGCATGGTAAGGACCAAAAAGAATCTGAACTCTGCCTTGACCCAGGGAAACTCCCCCCCGATGCCGCACAGGCACCCTGATGATTTTATCTCCACACCCACGAACCTCCAAGGCCACGATCAAAGGACAAGATGGCATTCTCCTCCCTGGGATCGGAGAGCACAAGGGAAAGCCCACCTGAAGAGACCTCACAGGTCGAGGCCCTGACGCAAATCAGATCCAAGCTGGCCCTGATATCGGGGAACATGCTCACCAGAGCACACACAAGCATACTGATTCAAGAGTTCCAGGTGGCAATGAGGGAGGAACTGGCAGGGTTGCGATCCGACCTCAGTGCACTGGACGCCTGTGTTGAGGATGCTGAAGCAGAAGCCAACATATGCCAACAAAAATGTGAAAGTAGGAAAGTGGTAAACCGCGCCAAAAGAATTTCAATTAATCATATCATACATACATATATATAGATCTCAGGTAGTTCAGCATGAAACAAAACCTCAAAAAGAAAAATAATAAGATAATAGTGCAATATGCTTAAATATTAAATGGTGTAATCTAGAACACACTTAGTTTTAGATAAAAGGCAAACTCACACTTTGCAGAGCTACTAAGAGCTCTGCTGTATAACGCCTGGACGGTACAATCCCCGTCTTAGGATCTGTAGATGATAGGATGTCCAAAACTCAGCAACCATATATATGGGGGTTTTTTAGTGAGCGCCTAAACTCTCTTTTTTCACCTGTATTCTGTACTTCCCATATAGGCTGCCCTAATATTTTTTAGTGAGCGCCTAAACTCTCTTTTTTCATTTGCCAACAAAGACACAGGGCCTCCAAACTCGC